TGTTTTATACCCTCACTCCCCTAACATATCACAGGAAGAAGGCAATGAAGGCATTTAAGGCTTGTCTTTAAAAAGGTTACTTGGCACTACTGAAACAAAAAGTGTCTGGATCAATCAGTGATCGGCAAGAATTGTGCAAAGAAATTGTCAAACATGGTTACTCCTCCGTCTGCCACTCTGACACACTGCCTTATTTCATTCTGATTAATTTCATTTGGAGGCCTGTGTCCTCTATGCCTTTCAAAACAGCCCCACTCCAGGTCTCATCTTAAGGGTACATCTAGCCGCAAGACTGTGTACATTTATCTGCATGGGATAAGGTAAAAAAAAAATAATAATAATATAAAAAAAAAAAATCAGCATTATTTGCATTTATTATAATGCCTGAATTGCATCAACCTTGTTGCATTTCTCAGATCTTACAGTGTGTTCAAGTTAAGCCAGAGTTACAATAATTCTAAGATTCCAAAGGGCTAAATTTACTAACAGTTTGCGCCAACGTAAACCGTCTTTTGGCGTTAAAATAGTACTGTCAGGATTTTCTAAAGACACACAGTGAAGAATTAACGCTGACAAAGTCATCTTTTCATGTATAAATTCTCATTTATTTCAGAACAAGATTCAAGGATTCATCTTTGACCTCGTAACCAACCAGGCCTTTGACATTTTCATTATGGTCCTTATCTGGCTCAATATGGTCACTATGATGGTGGAGACGGATGATCAATCCAAGGAAATGGCCAAAGTGCTGCAGTGGGTCAATGTTGGTTTCATTGTGCTCTTCACCAGCGAATGTGTGCTAAAGATGGCTGCGCTACGGCAGTACTTCTTCACCGTCGGCTGGAATGTATTCGACTTTATCGTGGTCATCCTGTCTATAGCTGGTAAGATTTGCTGTATGATGAGGAATTGACCCTTTACTAAGCAATTGTTTTATCACTCCCTCCATTTTTTTCGCAGTTGCATGATCAACTAATGCAATGCAAAATCAACAAAATATCTTATTTTCTTCAAACCAGCAAACACTTAACTGCAAAATAATCACAAAAAGTGCAGTACTACTTAGTTATTGACACATTAGTGTGATAAAGAAGCGTGAATGAATGATAAAATAAAGTGAGGTGTGTGCTTGATGTAAAAAAGAATTATGCGCAATAACCGGAAACACCCATGATCACACATGTTATCTGTTATGTTTTGTGAACATAAATAGTTGGGAGAAAATTCAGTACGTGTCAGTATATTAGATCTGTGCATTAGGGGCCAGATTTACTAAAAGCTTGCGCCAGCGCAAACCGTCTTTTGGTGTTAACTGTCAGGTTTTACTAAAGACGTGCAGTGATGAATTAGCGGTGAAAATGCGTGGACACAGTTATTTTTGTGCCTGACCTTATTGAATATGCATTTGTAGGAGTTTCCCTTTCAGACACAAAATTTATAGGACAGTATTAAAATTAATCAAGCAACACGATTTACTAACGTTTGCTCTTATCAAATTACTGGTGTTTATGCCATTATTTAATGCCCAAAAAAAGCATGTCTTAAAGCAGGCAGTAATTTGTGCTGCTCTTGGTAGATTGCGTTGGTCATTGTGAAAATGATCTGGCTGCGTCTGTGTTCTTTAATGTGCACATTGTCAGTAAATCACCCGCAGAATTTTCCTCTCCAATCAGAGCTTTTATGGAATTGCACTCTACCGCTAATTTGCCCTGTTTAGTAAATCTGGCCCCAAGTATTAAAATCACATATTACCCATTGCTTGTTACCTGATGCACTATGCTCTTGATTTAGAGTAGCATATATATTTGAATTAATGTAGCGATTGATGTATTATTTTGGCATCAACAACATATCTGTCATGTGTGGCTACTGTGAAGAGCACGATGCAGGAGGAGGATCGGGAAACCACATTTATTATAACTCAAACACAGAGAACTAGGAACACAACCACTGTACATAGACGACACCGAACACTGGACACAGGAAACACTGGGCTTAAGTAACAAGGAACTGTGGGTATGAGGATAATTAAGGAAACACAGGTGAACGGAATGACAATCAACCATGAGGGAAAACTAGGTCATGGGGAGCACATGGGGAGAAAAACACACATACAGAACGTCCAGGGGCGTGACAATTCGCCCCCCTCCCGGAAGGCGCGTCCTCACACCACATACAATCAACAAAAGGGGGTGGGAGAGTGGGCGTCCTGGAGGCCTCTCAGGGCAGGCTAGTACGGGGTGGGAAGCTTCCAGGGTGGTACCACAGGGGGCGGTACCCCCCCCCCAATAAAAATGTATTGGGGAGGACTCCGGGTCCCCTGGCTGGCACAGGCACTAGACTGGGCTCAGGAGTCCACTCCGGGCTGCATTTAGGAACAGAAGACCTCCCTGGGCTGCCCTCGGGAACAGAAGCCCACTCTGGGCTATACTCGGGAACGGGAGCCCGCTCTGGGCCAAACTCAGGAACAGGAGCCCTCTCTGGGCTAAACTTAGGAACAGGAGCCCTCTCTGGGCCAGACGTGGGAACAACAGCCCTCTCTGGGCCAGACGTGGGGACAGGAACCCTCTCTGGGCTAGACTCGGGATCTGAGGCCCTCCCTGGGCCAGACGCGGAAACAGTAGCCCTCTCTGGGCTTGACGTGGGAACAGGAGCCCTCTCTGGTCTAGACTCGGGATCTGAGGCCCTCCCTGGGCCAGACGTGGAAACAGCAGCCCTCTCTGGGCTGGACTCGGGAACAGAAGACCTCTTTGGGCTGGACGTGGGAACAGAAGCCCTCTCTGGGCTGAACTCGGGAACAGAAGCCCTCTCTGGGCTGGACTCGGGAACAGAAGCCCTCTCTGGGCTGAACTCAGGAACAGAAGTCCTCTCTTGACTCTGGTCAGGGGCTCGAGCCATCTCTCGACTCTGATCATGGGCTCGAGCCATTTCTCGACTCTGGTCAGGGGCTGGAGCCAACTGTCTCTTCCTCCTTGTTCTCCTCTTTTGGGCTGAGGTGAAAGAGATAGCTGCTGTCATCAAAGGGCTTGGGAGTGAATCGGCCAGCAGGCTTGAGAGTGGAGCCGCTGGCGGGCCTGACAGTGGAGCAGCCGCTGTATCTGGGATGATGACTGAAGCCGAACTCGGGAGAACTTGGGGAAGCGCAGGTGGAACAGAAGGAGCGGGCTCTTTGGAACGGTATGTGGTAGATGGTGAGCTGAAGCGCCCACTTGCTTCCGAATGGGAACAGGGCGACTATCCTCCACATAAACAAGGAACTCAGAGCCATTTAAATCGAGGACATAATTAATAAAGTCTGCTGCAGGTCTATAACAGTCGTCAGGAGACAGGAATTGAAACAAATTATCATCATCGAGTCCCATTCGGAAGCAGGAATTAACCATGTGATCGCTCCAGCTCAACAGATGTACAACACTCAGGAACTCCTCCACATATCGTTCCAAAGGCCGTCCATCCTTCTGGATGTTCCAGATGAACTCCTCAGCCCAGTTCATGGCTGCTGTGAAGAGCACGACGCAGGAGCAGGATCGGGAAACCACATTTATTATAATTCAAACACAGAGAACTCAGAGAACTAGGAACACAACCACTATACATAGACGACACCAAACACTGGACACAGGAAACACTGGGCTTAAGTAACAAGGAACTAATGAGGATAATTAAGGGAACACAGATGAACGGAATGACAATCAACCATGAGGGAAATCTAGGTCACGGGGAGCACATGGGGAGAAAAACACACACACAGAATGTCCAGGGGCATGACAATAGCTGCATGTGGATCCATTTTAATGTTATGAGCGTTGCTATAGAAATTAATTATGTCAGAGTTTGAGGATGTGAACAGCTCGGGTGTTTATTCATGAGTAGAACTAATTTTTGTATAAAGAGTTTATAAACTATTTTTATGTAAATTATTATAGTGCAATATTATGTACAAAGATATTAGATGAATTTGATTTAGTATCATAAGTAAATATCAAACACTGGATCTTGGAATAGAATGAACATGAACATGTTGATTTCATCAGAGTTATGGAGGTAATGTTTGCAAAAGCAAGCAAAACTTTAATTAAACCTGGATTTTTTTTTTCTTTTTTCTAGTTAATGACAGCACCAATTAAAAGTAAACATCACTCCTCATTTATCTGCCTGATGAAATTAATAGATGTGGATAAAAATAACAAACTAAGAACAAATGTGAAGTCATAAGCAAGAGCAAAACAAACACAGTTTTACTAAATAAACCCAGCCTGGACAGCTCATACTCTAGCACAATGTTTCAGTTTATACCCAAAATCTGTATTTAGGTTAGTTTGTCTTCCAGCATCACAGTCTGATAGCCCCTCCCCCTCTGCTGTGGAAGGAAAGCTGTGGCAGTTGAGTTTTTTTTTTTCGGTTAATTAAGCACATAATCTGGGTATTTAAAGTTTGGAATAAAACTGGCATGGAATAATGCATAAATACGCAAATTGGGACACACCTAGTGTGATGTTAGCATGTTGCTAAGCTAACTGTAAAACGAATAAGCATAAAAGTACAAAACACACACCAATACTGTGGCAAATCTATTAGTCTATTAATACTGTAATGTCTGTTTGTTGATGTAACTGCAAAGTCATTTAGTAGAATGTCTAAAGACTATCAAAATGAGGTGTTACTCTTGCAATGCATTACGGGATTATCTTTCAAACTGCCTTTTTGCCCATTTTGATTTAAATACTGAGATGTAAGAAATAGAGAGCACACTAGATTTTGGAACAGAACTACAATCATCAAGATAACCCTAAATGCATAATTCAAAATCAGACATGTTCTTTTATATATTCACATGTGCTATCGTTGTCTTTGTTAAATTCGTGTGGCACAACTATTCCTATGAATTATGTGGCCTTACTCCCTACTGCCATGTGGTACACATCTCACTTAACAGGATCTGACAATGTCCCTACAGAAAGTGTCTGAGCAGGGGAAAAGAGAGACATATTTGCACTTACTCCGACAGATAGGCCTGTGGTCACTCCAGGCCGCCAGGGTCTCAGTCACTCTCTGGCAAGTGATGCTCTTTGATCCCTGCAGTACGTAGCTGTCGTCACAGGAAAACTGGATGCTGGCTCCGACCCTGCCGAAGTTGAAATGACCGTCAGCGATCGACCAGCTACATGAGTCATACCATCAACCCCAGACCCTCTATGTCTCTGACGCATCCTTCTTTTGTTAGATGAAAGCACTTTCTGTCAAATGTCTATAAACCGCTTGTGTCTTCTATTTTCAGAATCACCCACTTCGTATTCCATTAAATGCAGAACATGTAATGGCCCTTGGTTCTTTCTCTAAGGGCATTAGAAACCCACTTAGTAGCAGTGACCAAAGGTCCTGGTGGTAATGGCCTATTGGTATGGGAGTTCAGACGGACGTGTCAAACAGCAGGCCCAGGCCTGATTAAAGCTGTGTCATGCAGTTAAAAAGGACAAGTGCAGCAGATAAGAGAACGAAAAGAGGACCTACTGGAAGCTGGAGCCAATTCTTTTCCCATTCTCAGGAATCCCCGGATCTGGACAAATGTCTGCAGCCATCCCACCTTGGCTTACTGCATGAAAGCAGAGCATGCAAGAGAAAGAAGACAAAAACACAAAAAACATGAGGAAATAAATGAGACATATTATGTGTGATAGTCGACTGGTGCGTGTTCAAGGCAGCGTATCAGAAGGATTTCACCAGATGCACTGCCTCATTGCTGAACTCTTATGAATACAAAAAACACTCATACAAGTATGTAAATGGTCTTGGTCAAATTTCACCTAAAAATAAAAGATAGATAGATAGATAGATAGATAGATAGATAGATAGATAGATAGATAGATAGTACACTTTTAGAACTTTTATACACTGAATGACACAAAAGGGTCAATGTGCATACATTATATAAATAATATATAGAATGTTTCTTTATAAGAACAAACCCTGCCAAAGAAGCTATTAAGAAGAAAAGCAATGGAATGTTCTCTTTCAACAGCCCAAAGTGTACAGTGTTCATAAGAATGCCAGTAAAGATTGCATTCACAGGTGGAATATCTATTCCTGTAGAGCTGACAGGGGATTTAGTGATGGTAAGCTCAAGGCTATTTCCCATAAAAAGCAAATAAAGGTCAAAGCATGTCCCATGTTTCTCCCCTCCCCACTCTCTTGTTCCTCCTAAGCCACAGTGAGTTTGTGTTCACACAGCCTCACTTTCTGACATCCCTCTGAGTTCAATTACTGGCCAAAATCACATTAGGTGAGTTCATGGATGACTTCATTTTAGGTGCAGCATTGACCATCTTTACATGCACATCATTTTCCATGTTGTAAATCTTTTACTATTTATTTTTCATGATACTATATTATATTTGTTATTATTACATAACACCTTTTTATTATTATATGCCAGCTGTTTTATTTGTATTTCTAAACTGGAATATTGGTGTAATTGGTTATGGCAGTTGGTCTAGCACAGACTGTGCTAAATAAAGATACGTCCTTCAATTTCTGATGCAACATCAATAAATTAAATATTACTGATGTTTTAAAGGGTGGCACACTGAACCATCATCTTATAAATAGCTATAAATTGGCATAGAATGGTTTTAATCAAGATGATTTTATGCAAGAACAAACACCTTGAATTGCACTTTATGACTGTGCATTATTTGGGCTACTGAAGTATACCATTAATAAGACTTTAAACTGTTATTTAATATTAAGTGCTTCAGTAGTTTCCTCAAACGAATGGTGTTGGTAAAGACATTTTATAATTATAATGTTATAATTAAAAGGTCTGGTTGATCTTTGTCTCAGACTCAGTTTTTGATAAAATTAGCTTTGTTTGAGACAATTAGTAACAAATAGCCTAGATATGTAAGGGCAGAACTGTATATTGTTTTTGAGTTTTGTCTGTACTTATTAGTTTTGGACAGACAGAAAATTGAATTATTTTTACACACGTTTGTAGACCATCAATGTACAGTAACTGATAGACAGATAGATAGACAGACAGACAGACAGACTGACAGACTGACTGACTGATTGATTGATTGATTATCATTCAGTGGCACATTGCGCTACATAATTTTTTGTTTTTTTTAAGATTTTTAAGCTTGTGGCTTAATAGGACATAAAAACAAAATCTACATTTTGTCTCATTCATGTCAGTCAGAGGGTCTCTTTGTGTTTAAGTCAGTGGTTCTTGGCCAGAAAAAGCTGCACCAGACTTTGTGTTTATAGTGAAAAGTATGTCTATACAAGTCTAACTTGATGTAGGTGACACGAAATTAATTAACATGTAGAACCCACACAAACCACTTTATGTAAAGTCATCGGTCCTGACCGACACAAAAGCACTTGAATCATGAGGCAAGGTCAATGCATTTGCAAGTGGTGTGTTTGTGCATGTGTGTGAAAAGCACAAGGTTTTCACTTGTGGAGGGAGGCTTTTTGATCACCTGTCATGTCCTTCTTTTTGATGTGGTCTTCAAATGTCATCTCCCCTGATTGTTGATATCAGTTTCTAAAGTTATTCTGCCTGATCAAAGCGGGTGTCTGTTTTTTCTGATCTTTTTCTTGGAAATTTATTTTCCTCCTATAGTGCCCTGCAATCACCTCAATATGTGTCAAAGACTTTCTTACAACGCACATGTAAACGTTTAATACATAACTGCCAAGTGTACTTCCATTCCAATCAAAGATCTAAGAGCTGCCCTTAAAGGTGCTGCAAGCCATTTCACTAACGTCTGCCAGATTTAGCTACCAAAGAGTAAAAATCACATTAATTTTCTTCATAGAGAAATGTAGTAATTTTTTAGCAATAATAGCTTCTAAGATAGACCTATCAAAAGCTTCAAGGTTAAGGAATGATACACATTGATTTTCACTCAGAAATTACTAGTACATTTATACTACTAGTACATTTCAAAAACAATTACAATGAAACAGCAAGTAATTAAACATTCCATTTTGAAGTTAAATTTTGGTATTTTCGGTAAAACTTTAGATTAGGGAACACTATTCACTATTAACCATTCTTATTAACATGCATATTACTAGCACATTGGCTGTTTATTAATGTTTAAATAGCACATATTAATGCACGACCATATTCTAGATCTATTAACCCTACCCAATACATAAACATAACTACTACAACAACTAAATTAGTATCATTATGCAACAAATTAGCAGTTTATTGAATAAAATATGAATGGGTTCCCTCATCGGACGTGTTACAATATTTTCTTGTAAAACATACTCCAATAATTTTTCCCTATCGGAACTTAACTCGTACTGCATCCTCCATCTTTCCCATCGCTCTTTCCCGCGATGGGAAAACTCCTTTTTCTCTGATTAATGAAGCATTTTTCAATAACGCAGAGTAACTGCATGGCCATTGGTTCGTGCAGTAAATAACATCGCTCTTTCCCGCGATGGGAAAACTCCTTTTTCTCTGATTAATTAAGCATTTTTCAATAACGCAGAGTAACTGCATGGCCATTGGTTCGTGCAGTAAATAAAAAAACAAAGCAATGGTGAGGCAGCGGAGCTGCACAAGCTTATGGCCATGAAATGGCCGGGGTCGTCTGGCTAAATAAGCGGGCATGCTTAGGATCATAGGCATAGGATCCTCCGATTTATTCTCATTCAGCGACAAAGATCTTCTCTTCGCTGAACTATGAGACTTGAAGCCTTCTTGCCATTGACACGCCTCGCAGCAGATCAAGCTGATTCAGGGCCTACTCTGCTCAGCTGTTCGCTGCTCCGCCTCTTCAGTGAGCCGCTCATGAGCCGCCTTCAGCGCCTGCAAACTGCTGTTTCAGCACATCCGGTGAGTTTAAAAGAGCAAATTTCTAAGAGCAAATTCCACGGAATTGATTCAAATGCCACGCCGCTATTGTGGCTCATGCAGGGCACCCCTGCACACTCATGACGGGTACGGTGAGTGCATTTCCTGCTTGGGGAAATCCCACGCGGAAGCCGCGCTCACCGAGACGGATTGTTCTCACTGAGAACATGAGTCTCGCCTCTCTGCGCTTGCGGAAGTCTCCGCCCCTAGCACCCTCCCGTTGTCTTCCTCCCAGGAGCCTGTGAGGAAAAAACAGCGGGGCAGAGGAGCTCAGATACAAGTGAGCCCACGCGTGCCCAAGCTTCTCCCGTTAGTTTCACCCACCCAGACCAATGTCCCTCATCACGAGTGACTTGGTCTCATTCCAGGGATCTGAGTACAATCCCTAGATGACAGTATGTCATTGGCGGCACCAGACGCGGAAGATTGGATGGGCTCGACGAGCACCCCGCCCCCTCGCCGTCTATGGAACCCATCGATGCTAAAGCAGGGATGGACGTCGAAGTTTTCCATGTCCTCTCTAGAGCGGCCGAAGAGCTGGGTTTAAAGTGGTCTACTCTGGAGGAGCCCACTCGCAGTCACCTGGATGAATGGTCCTTGCTGGGGTGCCGCCAGGCCCCTCGGCAACGAGCTTCTCCATTCTTTCCAGAGGTTCACACCGAGATCACTAAGTCGTGGCGCACCCCCTATTCTGCCCGCCTATGCACATCTGCTTCATCCGCCCTCACCACAGTCGACGGCGCTGAAGAAAAGGGCTACAAAAAGCTGCCTTCCCTGGATGAGTCAGTGGCCGCATACCTCTGCCTAGCCACTGGAAAGTTGCCCATCCTTCTAAGCCCTGTAAGACGACGCTAGCCCTCGCTGGACGAGCCTATACCTCGGCTGGCCAGGCGGCCTTGGCATTGCATTCCATGGCCGTCTTCCAGGTCTTTCAGGCCAAACTCCTCTGTTGCATGGACGAGTCTGGACTCGATCCAGCTGCGTTTCAGGACAATGGCTCAGGCCATCAGCAGGTCAATGGCCAGCTTAGTGGTGCTAGAGTGACACTTATGGTTAAACCTCGTGGAGATTAAGGACACGGACAAAGTCCCTCGACCTCAGGCACTCCCTCATTAAACAGCCGTTCACAGGATGACTACTTTGAAGCAGATCCTCTCGCAAATATGCCCAGGGGACTGGTTCTTCTCTCTGGACCTGAAAGATGCTTACTTTCACATCCATATAGACCCTCATCACAGGCAATTCTTGAGATATGCCTTTGAGGAAGTACGTTCACGAAGTGCTTGGATGCAGCTCTTTCCCCTCCGAGACAGATGGGAATTCGCATTCTGAACTACCTCGACGACTAGCTCATCCTAGCCCAGTCAGAGGCTGAGCTAGTATCCCACAGGTCCCTTCTCCTTAGCCACTTGGAATGCCTGGGGCTCAGGGTCAATTTTGCCAAGAGCTCACTGTCTCCCAGCCAACAAATTTCGTTCCTGGGAGCAATTTTTGACTTTTTTGCCAAATGAGGGCTATAGTCATGCCAGAGCGTGCCCTGGCCATACAGCAGCTTGCGGCCTCCTTCAAAGTTGGAGCCTCCCTCCCTCTCAGGATGCTTCAGATGTGTCAAGGTGGACCAGGCCTGCGTGGACCAGGGCTGCGTTTCCCGATAACGTTGTCTCTTAGCTCGCTACGAAGACTCTAAAGGTATATCTTAACTAAAGGTATACCTG